TGTGTATTAATTTTGCAATCAAGTGGATAATTAGCCAGAATGGAAGTGGTTTCCAGCTACTTAATCTGTACGGATTCACTCTCTTCCCTGGAATCTCTTAAAAATACCTCTTTATGTAATGATATTATTGTCAATATACAGCAGTCTCTCGGAGATCTGGAGAAGAGGGGTATTTCAGTGTTTTTTACATTTGTCCGTGGTCATTCGGGTAATTAATGGAAACGAGAGAGCTGATTGGCTTGCTAAGAATGCAACTAAAAATGATATTAACGTTGATGTAAATATTCCAAAATCTTATTTAAAAAAAACATTCAAAGCTAAAATGATTGAGCGGTGGAACTGTGATTATATCTCTTCTGATAAGGGATCTGTTACAAAAGCATTCTTCCCAACTATTTTTGAAAGACTGAAAAGTAAGGACTTGTTGCTCAATTTTAAAGTTACGCAATTTTTGTCTGGACATGGTAAGTTTAATGTTTATCTTGAACGATTTAAGCTGATATCTTCCAATTTGTGTAATTGCAATCTTAGCGTTGAGCAAAGTGTTTTCCACCTGCTTTTTGATTGCCCACTGCTTGATAAAGCAAGAAATCTTTGAAATGTAGATTGAAATTCATTGGAATTCATTGGCCGCCGAAATGTTATCATTTTGTATCCTCGATTTCGGCCTACCGAGCTTTCAATGATTTTGTTGACTTTTATTTTAAACACTGTTAATGGTTTCTTTATACATTTTTATACTTTTGTATTTACTTGTGTTTTTTTTTCTTTGTTATGATTTCATTGTATTGTTGAAAACTGATGATATTACTTACTATTCTGCCTTTTTCACTTACGATTTGTAAGTCTCGTGCGATACTTTGTGGTGCACGAGGATTTCTTTTTCTTTAAATTAAAAAAAAAAAAAAAAAAAAAAAAAAAAAACCTTAACCACGTCGTCGTTAGCTCTTCACAAATTCCTAATTGATAAACTGATTCCATGGTAAAAAACTGGAGACTTTTCATGTTCTGTCAGTTCGAAGATTCCGTAACTATGGCAGCAACTTTCTGTGAGTCGACGATTATTGACTTCTCTTCACATAGGCGTTCACGACATCTTGATAAAAGTCGCATTCTTAATGGTATAAAACTGAACTTCTAAGAGTGCAACTGGACTTCAATAGATTCCCGTTGATTCTTGGCGAACAATGGCCAACTCGCAAAATGACGCTAATACCAAAGTTTGCTGTGCCGGTCAGTCCACCACTGTCCGCCCTTGGTCACAAGAACTTTAAAAAAAAGGGGGGAAATACGTGCACCGGGAGAAAAATTACTTCCTTTAGTATAGTTTTAAAATATTACAACGAATTCCACTAGATGGCAGCACTAATTTTCATAAAGCATACCATTTACTCGATATTTAGTTAATTTGGAGTGCAACTGAAATTTTTTAAATTAAGTCTACCTATTTTGTTACATGTATTTGTTTTCGCCCTCAGAATCTATATATTCAGACTATGTTAACAGCTGTCTACAAATATCCATTCTAATTAAAAATTTCAAAATTCTACCTCCCTCTCTACATCGCATTGTATTTCCATACATCTTTTCTAAGGGCTTTATTTATTAAAAATTATCTTGAAAGAGCTCCGAAGTACGAAAATTAAAACTTTTCACTTTATTAATACTAAAAATCTAGTCTGATCATTTGGTTATCATATGATGTCAGACAGGACTTAATTTCTAAATTAATAAAAAAGAACCTATGTAAGACCTTCAGGGAAGAGGAACAAGAATAAATAAATACATAAAATGACTAATAAAATCATTAATAATTAATTAAATAATTCATTGCTAAAATAATGAATTAATAGTTAAAGTAATTAAATGATTAAAATTTGATAAAATGCAAAGATAAATAAAAATTTAATAAGCGATTTTTAATATAATTTTATTACTAAAAATAAAATGTTAAAGATCAAATTTCTACTGAAATCGTTGTTCAGTTACATAAAAAGTACCGTAGCCTTCTTATTTAGGGGTCCGGTGCGCTCCAGCTAGAATTATGAATGATGTCTAAAACTAAGAAGTAGAGGAGCCTGGCTCCAGTACTTCTCAGTTTCTGAGGCAAATCGTAATTATAGCCGGAGCCCTAAATAAAAAGGGTCAGGACTTTCTTTTATGTGAGCGAAACACTGTTTCAGCAGACAAATTTTACTTTAAAAATAAATATACTTTTAAAATCGATTATAACTTCGAATTCATGCCTGTCGTTCTTTGGGGAACAAACACTTTGACTGAGGTTATGACTTTTAAGGAAAGAAAGCACACATCCACATGCTCGAAGGCTTATTCTCATAGTAGTGCAATAAATTTACGAAAGCGTAAATGTTTAAAATGTTTTGTTCCCGAAAATATTAACAGTGTTTACCTTGATTTTCTAAGTCAACTGCTAGTGACCTTTTTGCAGAGCTTCCGCAGACTTACACTATGTCCCAAATACGGGGGACAAAAATTGTCACTAATGCACACCTTACATTTGTTCTCATGTTGATTCGGGGGAAATTTTTTTGCTCAGTCGCATTCTGCTTGACAGCTAGAATTACTCGTATATTGGCAGAGGATGGCGGTAAGAAAGCTTTGGATTCTTCTATCATTGTTTTCGAAGTGACAATTTTCTATTAAAATCTCTTTCCATACTCTCATACTGTTTCTAGCATTCCCTCTATTTTCATTAGTGACGCTTTAAACGTTTTACTTTTTTCTACTGTTGTGCTAGAAAAAGAGTAGTCCCCCCTCCCAACGAAATAGTATATTAAACTCTAAATTCAGCCGAAGGCCGGCTGATCTGTTTCTTAATTTCTGTATGAAAGAGTAAGTCCAATCGGAGCACCAAATAAGACGAGATCCGATATTTTATTTCTTTTATTTAACTATTTATCATTAATTTAATAATTTATTAAGTTATTTAACTATTTATAATTAATAAATTTTTATTTTAATTATTAGTTATTTTATTTATTAGACGGCTTTTCTGTGGGCTCCGGCACTTTTGATTTTAGAAATTAAGCCCTGTATGAAGTACAAATTTAATTTCAATAAAAACGTATAATGCCAATCAGGGTGTTGTATTTCCTTTTTATTATATATTCATTACAAGCTGATAACTGAGATCAGAACATTATTTGATCAGTGGTCAATATGTAGTGTGGTGGTATTCTTATAGCAGACAATAGCCTGCAACCTAAAGAACTCAAATTGCTTCAAAGCATCGAGTATTATCATTTTATCTTAAAGAACAAGCATCGAGTATTATCATTTTATCTTAAAGAACAAATTCATTCAAAATACATTTAAAATATTCAACTAATAAATTTCGAATACTTCTCACAGACAATGAAAACTCCAGCTTTCAACACACTTAACTAATGTATTACATATCTCTAATTATTATCTTCATTAATTATTAGCTATCTCTGAGAAGCTCAAAATTACCTATGCTATAAATCGTCCAAAATGGACATAAAACTGCTGGATCTCGAAATTACGTATGGAAGAAATTTAGTAATCATTCAGTTATTAATATACTGAGTTATTATATTAACTGAAAGATGAAAGCTGTTACATACTTCACAATATTGTAGGAATTTTTTAAATGATCTTTCATGCATTTCAAAGCAATGGAAGGGGATAGTCTACTTATCCTCTCTTAGCATTATTTAATGGAGTTTCGTAAACAATCAAAAGTCGTTCATTCGGACACCCATAATCCGGAATGATCTATAATCCGAACCTCAAAGCTACAAACTTTCTGCGCATGCGTCGCGTTGACGCATTCGCGTAAGACCTTTACGGCTGCGAATATGCGTGTGCGCATGCGCAAAATACGTTTACGAATGCGCGTTTAATGTGTAACGGACGGTATAAGCTAAGCTAAAATTATCTAATTCGGTTAATGTTGCAGATTGCGTTGTTCCTTGATCTTCGAATTGGATCCGGCTTATTATTTTTTGCAGACTGTTAGAGCAATTTTATAAAAGTAAGCTTGAACTTTCGATTATGTTAAAAAGAATTTCCGATTCTGGAGCTGCCAAAGGATCTACAAAGCGAAAGGATGTTTCGATGTCCATCAAACAAAACGTGGAATTGCTGCAAAAAAATGGATAAAGGCACATCCTTTGTTTCTCTAACCATTCCGAAATCTGTTTATCAATTTCATTCTGCTCTGCGGCGGGGGAGGGAACGCCGCGGCGCGCAATGAATTGGAAGTTGATCTGTCAGCACTATCCTATCTTTAGGACAGATGTTTTTATTTTATTTGGCTTATAATTCCTTACTAAATGTAGTATTTCATCTCGATGTACTCCGTCTTTGATATGATTTAAATCAAATTCCTCGTCATTATAATTCGCTTCCGATAGCGAAGAAAGTGACACAAAGGTTATTGAAAACGAAAAAATTTCGATTGACAAATTAGTCGGTATTCTTGACACAGCAATTATAGGACTTAAACAGCGGAACATTGTAACAGAACAAGAAATTATGTCTGTTTATAGAATTATAGAGAAAGTATTATCACATAAAAAACGAAGCAACCTAAACATATTACACTGAAAGAAATGTTCAATAAAGTAAACAAATAAATATTAAGCTATTTTTTAAAACCCTTTAGATCATAATTGTTCTTTATTTCATAAATTACGGTTTCATATTTTTAATTTTATAATTTCTGCATGCCATCTTACCAGATTTAAACTGATGATCTATAATCCGGAAAAATCGATAATCCGGAATCGCCGAAGTCCCGATGAGTCCGGATTAACGACTTTTGACTGTATTTATTAGTTATTAGTCTATTAGTTAAGTTGAAACATTCATTGTTTCACAGATACTGTGCACGCATTTCTGCTTGGCTGTTGGCATGAGTAATGATAGGATTATTTTTTTATTTCACTAATTACTTTAAGTATTAAAATCTTTGCATACAACAAATAATAATTACTTTGTGCTTCTTTTCGCAGCTGGAACATTGGGCTAATGTTTAATAGAAAACGTGAGACAACTATTGCAGTCAATGACTCAAGCAAGTCTTTTCTTGGACACAGTGGTAATAAATGACAAGTATATGTAAAGCACATTTTCACAAGATGAATACGGGTCAGTCATTTACAAGTGTAACAAATTCATTTACAATTGTAAATGCCCATCCGAAGTACCATCCATTACATTAAAAGATTTTGTTTATTCAGTCATGGTAAAAATTGATAGCTATGCTTACAGAATACATATAAGCATTATAACCATCTGTCAGTACCCATTTTTTGTATCCAAAGTATAGTTACCTACAAGCAAAATACCTTGTGGTGAAAAGAAAAGCCCATGTATGTCTATCAAGCTTTTTGCCAAACAGGATAAAACTATAATCACATCTTATTAGAAGGAAAAAATAACTGAGATAAAAGTTCCAGTTATATAAAATACTGTCTCTGCATTTGAAATTATCACATTACAAAGCACTTTATAATTCATGAAATTTAGTTTTGTCTTTAAAGAAATATTCTGTGTAACTTTAAGACTTAAAATGTTTATGGTAGTTGAAATGTAGAGAAAACTGAAGAAAATTCATCTTCAGAGTGACACCATTCTTTAAAGTTCTTTGTGAGCTTAATTTCGAAGAATTAATGAACTACGGGAAAACTTCATCTTTCATACGAATGAGGACCAAGATGTTGTTTTATTTTATCAGTTTTTCAGTATACTGTTTTAGTTGTGTCATATAGCAAGAAAATTCTACATTCATTGGATTCATGAGAAACAATAGTAATTGTGGCGCAGTTGGTTCTGTTATCCAAGCAAAAAAGCAAACAAAAAAAAAAACACTTGATGTAACTCACACATAATGATCTGATTTTATAGGATGGTTATCTTTATGTGGTAGGTATATATTCAGCAAGTAACAAACTATATTTAATATGTTTATACACTTATGATCTATAAAATACAGAAAAATCTACGGCTATTAGGAAGCTGTTCTTCATTGTTACCAATACTGTCATTTTACAAATATCAAAACACAGTTCATACACGATGTATTAACTGTGTTTTGATATTTGTTATAAAATGTGAAATTTCAGTATTGCACTCTAAATGTAATTAGACCTGTTTATACAGCCCCTTTCTGCAAGAAAACTGAATGTATGAATTCAAAATAACCAATTTTGCTATTGTTATAGTAATCATTCTACCTCTTTATACTACCTATTTGCATAGTAAAACTGTAGAGTTATGTATTGTTGTTTGTGACCTTCAGTCATCTTTCACTTATTTATTCTTAAATTCTGAAAATTACTGAAAACTGAAATAGTTGAAAGTGATTGCATTGTTTCACATTTTGTATTCATCTTTACTGCTAAGTAAAAATAAAATTGGTAAAATAACATATTTTGAAAATAATACCCAAGTTTGCATAATTATGTGTTAAAGATCTGCTTGGAAATTTTGATGGTCATCCATGTCTCATATTTAGAAAAATTATGCGCATGGAATGCAAAAAATTGTACCCATTTGTAAGAAATATTGAAATTAGTAATATAGTAGCAGTATATGTTTATTTTAAAATACTAGTAAGTCATTCTGGTGATTTATACAGTAACACTATGATTTCTTATACAGAACAACAGACAATTATTAATATATTAAGTTCTGCCACACATGCCCTGCCCGCAGCAGAATCTTGTCACGTAGGCATAGTTTTAATTACATCTACAGAATGTACAGAACTTTGTTTGGGAAATTTTGTTAGTGTATGATCAACCCATGGTGTTGATAATTACGTGGTCATTAACAAAAACATATCTTAATAAATATGACACATTTTTTTTAACTTGAAATACAAGACCGCAATTAAAAGGCTTGAATTATGACAAGAATGATGACCTCACTGATCAAAATAATTTTGAATTACTCTATAAAATTTTTTTCATTTGAGTTAGGATAGATAGTGCATCTTCAATCCATTATTTTGTGACTGTATCTGCAAATCAAAGTACAAATGTGTAAAACCTGTAGACGATAGTTAATAATAATGATGGTTTCTTCTTTTATGTATTTTAAATACAAAACACATTGAAATTAGTGATATCATCACTGTTATACTGATATTAAATAAATAATTAATCTCAGAATACAAAAATATCACTTAAAAATGGAAATACTCTATATCACCTTCAACGAACATATTTAGATTTCAAATACTTTTTAAAGATGCAACAGAAGTGTATTAAATTTTCAAAATATTTAACACTACAAACACTACAAGTTTTGTTTAAACTAAAACAAAACTTATAGTGTTTATATTTAACACTATAAACTCAGTTCTGAATATTTTATTAAATGACTGTATATAATATTTATTAAAACACTTTTATTAAAGAATTTTATCAAAGAATGACATACTCAAAATTTCATCTAAAGGTAATATTGATCTACTCTCTTTGGTTTTGAACAAATGATTTAAAAATATAGTTTCAAAAGCATTAAATTTTTCTTCCAAAAATTTATATATTGAAATAAATTATTAATATTATAATCAACTTGCTCCTCAAAACTTTTACTTTCTTTAAAAATTTTAATGAACTAGTTATTTTTAAATATTTACCCTTTTTAATATACTAAATAAATCAAATGTAAATGAACTTAGGTCAGCAACAAGAATTTCCCTTCTCATTTTTCCTCATAAAAAACTCATTTTCAAAAAGAATGTTAAATTCTGGTTTTTTAATTGTTATAGTAAAACAAATATTTATTTATTTCAATATTTAAAAAAATTAGCTTCAACATCTGTTCACTTTCAAAATTAGGTATAACATTTAGTTACACATTTTACTACTGAACATAAAAATCAAAACAGGAATTCAAAAATTCTTATGGTTAAATTACAGTATTATTACAGATTTAAGCCAGAGTAAGGTTTTAAAATTAAAAATTGGAAAATAAAGAATTATGTTTTAAAAAATATAAGCTATTCCTTTCAAATTTAAACCACACTCTAATTTTATGTATTAAAAAAGGTGGCTTAAATTCAATAAAATAAATTTTAATTTTAAAATAAGTTTAAATAACATTGCATTTTTTGTTTTACAAAATGTTTGAATATGTAGGGCATTTCAAAAGATTGTATGACTAAATTCTCTAAAGCAACTGGTTTTAGACCTAGAGCTTTATTTTAAGACATAAATCAAATCAGAACACTTATAAATAACAGCAGTTATGATAACATGACATCTTTTTTACGTATATGATGTAAACATAACATATACATAAAAAAATGCATTTTTTACACATCTATACATTTTTACGTATATGCTTCAATTTTTGAAGTTAGTTTGCTTCTCATTCTACTAAAAGGCCCACAGAAAAAATATTCAATCTTTAATAGGTAAAATTAGTGTACAAAAAAATGTCATGATTATATGATTTAAGTCATGTCCATCAAAAGAAAAAGTTTACTTAACCTTTTAAGCAAAGCTTTTTAGATCAAATTGTAAATTTCCCTATTTGCAAAGCATTTATTACCTTGATACACACAGTCAATGCTTGCTTTAACAACCACTTTTAATGACCACTACAAAAAATCAGCAACTGATTAGAATATATTAAATCTATTTTCGCTACAATAATCATTTAAAACTTTTTTTTTTTTTTTTTTTTTTTTTTTTTTTTTTTTTCCAGGACGCGATGGGTCATTGTAAGTGCCAACTGTATAATAATTTAATAAATTGTTATGACGAGAATGATTTCTGAATTTGAAAGGAAATACAAGAGGAAAATATTTTAAACAAGGAAGTTTTGGGGGGGGGATATGATGAACATGCATACCATATACAATGCCAAAACATTTACAGTGTTATGGGTCATAAAAAAATCCAATTTTATTAACTAAAAAATTTTCAGATTTAGCATTCCTATAAATGGTAGTTTGAAATTTAATACTTTTAAATGAATATCCAATATAAAAGGTATCTTTTTATAAACTTGCCTTCAAAAATTTAACATGTACGGGTATTCTGTCCCCAAAACTTTTAATTAAAGATACCTGGGTAACTTTAGCAGCAAAAGGACAGATTTTTTCCATTTAATTTCATTATGAAAAATATTTGTCTCGTTCATATCCTCCCCATTTAACTCATATAAAAATTTAAGAGTTAAAAAGTATTACATAATTAAATATCTAGTAGTCCATTACTTGTTCATTTTTTAAACTGAAAACCATAGGTCTTCAACTACGATTCACACTGTATTTAGTTATATAATCATTTTGAAATGGTCAGTATAAGCCAAACAAGAATCTCGTCATTCATGTCAAGTAACACAAATATTAAAATATGGATCGGAGCATATTAAAAAGTTTTATTTTTCTTGCAATTCAATTCATACAAGCATGAAGCATCTTGATCTGAATCAAGACTTTCAAGTCATTTGGGGATTTGAAAGAAAAAAGAAAATTACATGCATATATTATTTTGATTTTGCATTTTAATTCATTTTTCATTGTATGTACTTAGGAAACAAATGCTATAAGAGTTGTTTCATTTTTACTGTTATGTTATCTTGTTCAAAAATTTCTGTTGTAACCATGTGAATGCATTCTTCAAATTAACAAGTTATTTGTACACATTTATCCTTTTTAATAAACTAAATTTTGTGCAAGTGCATATTTTATTTTAATTAAATGTTTTTTCAGCAACCATTTCCACAAAAATTCCAATGCAAAACTGTTAACACAGTTCAGTAGAGCCAAGATTTGCCAAGAAAATATTCCGAAAAGGATGGTGCTTAAATTTAACATAAATTGTAATTATTTTCTCAATGGACACACAAAAAAAAATACTTTTTAAAAATTAATAAATGCACAAAAACAGATAAATCTATTTTAACATTACTTAAAAAATCAGTATCATACAAGTTCTGAAAACCTATACTGAATTTAAAATTAGGTAAAATGCAACTTTGGATTGATGTTTATACTAAAAGTTCTATGCATTTTGAATGAATCAGATATAGTTCTTGAAGTAGTAAAATATTTTCAATAAAAGAGAAATTTTGCTAAGTTAAACATGTTCAGTACAGAGATTATCATATCATTAAAGTATGCCTATATTCATCATTTATGCATCTTAATAAGCTGTCATTTTTGGCAGCTGTTTCTAGTTCATTCTGCAGATCTAATTTATCTTTCAAATTATTGCAGTACAGTTACAAATTATTCATCAGTGTAGCAAATTTAATTAACGCAATATATAAACCACTTAATTGGCACACTACCATTATATACCTTTATCATAATTAAAAAGAGATTCCCATATACTATGAACTTAAACTACAGTTTTTAATCACTCATTTTAATATTTTTGAAACAACTTCAGTTACATTTATGATCTGAAAGGGACATTAAAATTCCAAAAAATTAAAAGAGCATTAAAAAAAAATTACTGAATATCAGAAGTTTTCATTACATGCAAAATGTTTTATTTGTTTCATTTGAATACCAGATCAAAATGTAAACTGTTAGACATTGATTACTGTAAGATATCAGATAGCTGACACTGATTAAATACCTACTCTTTATCACACATATCGCACTTCCATCATTACATTTTTCCTCTTAAAAATGCAAACATACAATCAGATCCCCTCTATCACATATGGCAAGTTTACCATTAAATAACTAAAAATGTATTAAAGTACAACTACTAAAGGGAAACGTGTTTTAAAATTGTTGTTGTACACACTGTTGTACAACACTTATTTAAAAGTTACACACCAGCAAGTTCAACATTCAAGTTGACCTTTTATACAAAGTAGCTTAAAGTAAAAGATAAATTTTACTTCTATTTCAAAACCTACAGAATGTCTACTTACTGAAAAGATGGAGAATATTATTTAAAACTCAGGAAAACTTTAACAAGTAATTATAACCATCACACAAAAAGAGTTATAAAGTTTACATCTGGAATTATTTGCAATAAATTATGCTTTCATGCAGAAGCTGAAATATTTTGATAAGAGTTTCTTTGATGGAAAACAGGTGGAAGGAAAAAGAGCAAATTTTTCTTAAAAACTTAATGCACAAAATGCAGGTTAGGTTGTGAAGTAATGTCTCAGTATATTCTTCACATTCAATTGACTATTTATATACGATACACTTTGCATAAAACACATATCAAGTTATTGATTAAAAGAAACTAAATTTTCTTAAGATTAGCATCAGCTATTTATGCACCAAATTTCATTGGATCTTATTCATTATAACAAGAGGTTTTAACACTTAAGCAGGCATTTTATTTACTCTAATGATCCTGATATTATCACATAAAGCATTCTTGTCATTTAGTATCACCTTCATTATTTTCAGGTATATGTAATAGAGATGGTTTGGTTTGGTTTGGTTTGGTTTATTTAATTGTGGCAAAGCACACTAGAGCTATCTGTCTAAGGGAAGGGATGTCTTTGTGGAGGACTTTCTAAGGGAAACTGGCTCATATACATGTTACACATGGGAAAAACCACAAAAACGTCTATGCAGCCAGCCCGTTCGCGGGATTCGAACCTCCTACCGAACTACCAGTCTTCAGCGACTTTACCACTCAGCCGCTTGTGGGCTGTAATAAAGATGATTATTATCTTTCAGATTGTTTCACTTTGTACTGCTGGGTATTTTTGACTTCATGACTGCATTTCAGTTTTTAAATTTTTCAGGGATTAGTTGGATCTCAGTTCATTTTTATAAACAAGAATATTCACCCACACTGTAATCTGATGGATGATTTTCTGAAAAGTGAGGATATTAGCTGGATGTATTGGCCAGCTAAGCATCCAGACCTAAGCTCCATTGAACATATCTGGACACTCTTGGAAGGGCAACTGCAACTTGTCTTTTCGCTAAACCTGAAAACAGAATGCAGCTGGGATGAAACTAACTGCCACAGTGACTCATAAACTGCCTCATTTCCAGTATGAAATCAAGTTGTGAGAACTGAACGGTTGTTAACCACCTTTTTTGTGCAATCCTGCAACCTCCATTCCGCAAATTTTTGCATTGAAGAACGATACACATGATCATGCATGTGTTCATGACTGTTATATGGTATATGTTTTTAGTATTATATTAGTCCAAACCAAATTTCATCAAAATTTGTCAATCAGCTCTGGAGATAATTGACCAAATGTGAAAATTCTCTTAATTTTGAGCACCACTATAGAAACATGGAAGTGGGAAATAGTAATATTATTAGATAATACTAAATAAATCATATATAAAGTTCTGAAAACTGTTAATCAATTAGAATAAATATTTTGTAAAATACCATAAGCTTTCTGCAGTCTGACTGTCGCCAATGTAATAGTTGAAAATCGTGATGTTTTGGTTGTTCCCTTTTCCCTTTTTTCAGAAACATTTCTCTGCAATTTATGTCATAAATGCTTGAATGATTTAAGTTCCTTATATACATAGATAGCCTTAACAAATTACGTACTGATGGTGATTCGATGCAGTGTTACATTTCGATTACACTGTAACTGATCGATGTGCCCTTGTACTGCATTGCCTCAGACCAGATGGTATGATTGCAGAATGCAACATGATCTCATACATGAGACTATATTGACTAGAGAAAGAATGGAATTTTGAGTAATTAAGAGATGAAGTATAGATTCATGTGCTTGAAATTTAGAAATAATTTGTATTATGCGAACCTTTCGCATAAAACTTTTATGAAGTATAATGTTAAGACACCTGATTTACTGGGCTTATGAAATAATTTATTCATATACTTGAAGATATGCATTGTTATTTCTCAGATGTATGAATAGCATAGCCTCAGATTTACTGACACTGATCTTTCATGGCTGAAGCCGACTCCAGTGCATGTACATTATTTTATAGTGTGTAGGTAACTGCATACACTGCTAGTGTAAAGTTCAAAATATGAGATATGCTATTTGCAAAAATACTAAATAATTTATAACATAAATGAATAAATAAAAATAGTTAAAACTAAATATATAGATAATATATTTAGTTTGTTATAATTATTCTAGATAATGATTAAAGCAATAACAATTTTTACTATTCATATGTATTAAATAACATATATATTCTAAGAGAGGGATTATTATCAACTGAGAATAATTTTAATTTAGAGAAACAATGCCAGATTCTTTCAAGTAAGCTCCTTTCTAGAGAAATATAAATTAGTTCTGGATATTTTTGTTCCCTTTCTTAATGATACAATTATTCCTTCCAAATACTTTTATGTAAAAATATATATAAATAAAACCCTTAAACAGTAGCATATTCTTTTGCTTCTACAACACAAGACACAGATATGATTTGTAAAATCCTGGATTTTAATATCTCCATATTTAAGCTATAGTTCAAAAAGTTTTAATATTATAATGGTGTCACCCATCACCTTTTAAATGCTGCTACACATATTACAGGACATCTTTTACGTATTGGCTAATTGCAATTTATAGTTTCTAGCTTTAAAGAAATGCTAAATATATTAACCCCTTAACTGCCGCGGGCGTATATATACGCCTTGCTCAGCCGATGCGTTAACTGCCCCAGATGCGCAGCCGATGCGTTAACTTTTGCGAATAATTTAGGTGTAGCAGCGCAAGCAAATGATAGCAGTTTGGAAGGACGTATATATACGCCTGGGGCAGTTAACGCATCGGCTGAGCAAGGCGTATATATACGCCCACGGCAGTTAAGGGGTTAAGCATGTAAACGAATGCTGAATTCAAACAGAAACAAATTCAGAATTTGTATGATACTGGTCTGATAAGCAAGTTTCAAAGAGACTAACAAGTGCACGTACATACAAAACTTTCCATTAAATATCAGAACTTTTATTTTGTTGTATATAATGCATTAAATTGTCTTGCTCAGAGATTGGATCACAATGTAAATGATGAAATATGAAAGAAATGAAGTGCCTGAATAATGTTAAATATGTTCCATTTGTAGCATAATTGTTAAGGCTGAAATTCTATTCAAGTGTGTTGCAGATAAAAGCTATGTAGCTCTAGCCTGGAACATCACATCTAAGTATGTATATCTATATACGTTATTTCTTCGAATTTTTTACATCAAAATAAAAGTCACTCACAGTTGCTACCCCCTCTTTAAACCTTAATTATTTCAGTGGTTTTATAATTCTGAATGTTAATTTTTTAATTGGAATATAACCTTTCATTCTCTGTGATTAAATTTTTAAATCTCAACATTAATCAGAGTCATGCAACTCAAAGTGTTTAGGATTCATGAAAGCAATATATTCTGATGAATGAAATATACGTTATAATTTTTTAATCATTCACTGAAATTTGAAACCAATTATCAAAACTTCAACAGAAAAGAATGAATTTATACAATGATGATTGATGCACATAGCAATAGCATAACATTCACAGCACTATTTCCTATGAAAATGTAAATAAAAGATAATTGGGGGACAGAAAACAGGAAAAGTCAACTTTTACCTCTGCTAAAGAGAATAAAAAGTACAACTTTAAAAAAATATATCCCAGGGAAAGAGCAGTATAAAAACAAATACAAAGAATTCCAAAAAACAGGAAATTAAGTAGTTCCACAATTAAAATACAATATGTAATGGGGGGAAATGATCAATATTTAGATAAGAAAAACTTTAAACTCTTTTTTAAAAAAAAGGATTCCATTGACATGAATCTTTATCTGTTCATATGGGAATTATGTCTCATCCACATGTCATGGACCTTTAGCTGCCCTCGAAATCGATTGAGTGTTTCAATATACTTACGCTAAATACAAGGTTGTTTTTACGATTTTGATTGTCACATTAGTGTGTTTCTCTTCTAGTCTGATATATACATGTTTGCATTTTGTGAAACGTAATGTTTTGTATAAGCATATAAAGTTCAAAAACACAAAAATTTCCAAAAGTGTCCACAATTTTGGTCACCACTGTATAGTGGGATTCAATAAAGTAAACAAATGGGTTGAGTCTAAGCAACGTTTTGTTTCTTTCGAGTGACTTTCTGAGGGAGAAGTATCTCATGTTAGTATAGTTTTAGTTAATGTCTTCCTTTCATAAGTAGAGTAGGATGTTCTTTCCTTTGTATGAATGTAAATCTTTCAGGTTTTATTTATTTATTTATTTTTTTTTAAATTCGTTTAAGTTGTCAAAATGAAAGTGATATTTATTAGAAGCTAAGTATACAGTTTTATTACTTATCCAATTCTGACATGGATATTTTATCAGATTCAGAACTGCTTCCTGCCTCAACATCTGCTTCATATGTAAGTGACAACTTTGATAAGGCTGTAAATCTTTTAGTGATTTTATATCCTAAATGATTTACAGCTGCATGCTTACCTGATATTAATTACAATAAAATAGTGGTGACTGTGATTATGGAATAGACTGTAACTGTGATAAAGAATTTTTTTCATATTTTTATGACAAATTAATTACAAAACAAACAAATAATTTTGCAAATTTTGACCTACAAAGAGTCCAAACCTCAAGATTCTCCTGGTATTTCTCATTTCAATCCCCCATCGTCTGAAGAAATGATTTTTTTAGCATTAAATATGCTAATGGGTATAATAATAATAATAATAAAGATCTAAAAATGTACGTAATTATACATCAGATAATGCATTTTTGTCAAATTTCTTAGCAAAATTAGATTTAGCAAGTGAGCATCCCCCGCCCTCTGGAGACATCACAGAAGCTCAGCAATAGCATCTCACAATAACACAGCAGAGATATTGGGATGCAGTCAGGAAGGGATGAACTCACCAGTTGCAACCAACCATAATGGATTCTTCCATGCTGTTTTTATCTCATTTGTTGACAGAAGTTGGCATCACCGACAAATTTATTTCATAAATGAAAAGTGCTCAAAATTAAAGAAGGCTAAAAATTCAATGAAAAAATAAGGTGTAACAACACCTTAGTATTTAGTTTAAAAATACTTACCCACAACATCATAAAAGAAATAATGGAATGTATTTTAATGGTGGAAGTATTTTAGATTATAAGGTTTTAGGTAAATGCTTATGTTTTTACAAATGGGCCCAGACCCCATATTTTTAATTCCATTACCTACACTGCCAAGTTTACCAACAGGCAGTCTTAAATTGCATATATAATATACAAATGCATGCATCTATAAGACATATATATAAGAAAAATGATTATTTAACACTTGAGTGATGAAAGCAGGTATTTTAAGAAAAGAACTACCTTAGTGTTTAGATTCATACCTACTTAGTTTTAAGCATACAGAGTGGCAGAACTAAATATCCCAATGTTACAAAACTAGATTAACATTTCTATTGGATGACTGCAAAATTTTGTAACTTATCTGAAAACAAAACATTAACAATAAACTAAATTTCTTTACATATGATATAATCATCATCATTTCTATAATTATCTATGAGTTTTTTATGAGCTTGTGGATTTCTTCTTTATCGAAACTACAAGGAAGAAAGAAAACATTTTAACTTTCAGCAAAGTAATAAGGTAACTTCTGGCAGCTTCCACAGAATTACAGTTTTTGTCATTAAACTACTGAAAAGAACTGAGATAAAATCTGGAGGAAGATAGAAAAAACAAATGGTGGCTGAAGCTTTTTCTCTTTTAACTCCAACTTTTGGGCATTGCTTTGACATGCAGTCTGCTGTTATTATGACAGATAACAATCATATGCATTCGAGGGGCCAAAATCAATACTTTTTTTGAGAATTTCCAATTTACATTTGATAAAATACTCACCACAACAGTTTTGCCCAATGGATCCCTTGCAATTTTACCTGACAGAAAACAGCAATAATTTCGTTCCGATTTCTATTGCATTGCATGCTCTTGTCTAGGATTAATTTGTCATCACTTGTTATGATTCAGTCTAAAAATAGCTCTACTTATGCATTGAACAGAGAAATAGAATCCATAGTATTCTTTTAAATTACATAATGCACCACAAATGTATTCCAGTTAGAAGAGAAGTTTCTATAAATGCTGAAATGAAGCAACTGTTAATCATGTGTCTTTTGATTATTTCCTCAGTTGTCATCCTTAGGATATTCTCCATTAAAATGAATAGAATGTTGCCATTTTTGCTGGCAGGTTGTCTAAAATGATGTGTTTCATTCAAATTAAGTTGCTTTTTAGAAATCTGCCACACCAATTAAATGCTAAGAGCAGTCCTATGATAAGAACAGAAGCACATTCAATATCTTTTTTGTGTCCATGTGTGTGTTGTGGCTCCAGCACTCACTCCTTTCCAAAACATAGTATGATGCAAATGTAATTTTTCATTATTCATTTTAATAAAATTCCCTCATGAACAAATCTACATATTTACTCAATAATATATGTCTCTAAAAAGATTTGCCATGTTCCTAATTATTTATTAGTATACACATAGATCACATAGATATTTTTTGTGGCTATGTCCCCTCCGACACCCCATCTATAAAAACAATGTATGAAATTTATTTTGCATTCATCCAAATATACTGAATTGAATCCAACTTTATGAAAATATCTGATGATTCAGCAAAACAAATTATCCCCCACATAAGAGCCTTGTTAACACAGGAGAGGAAAAAATACCATACTGATATCACAGGTGGCAATAACTATAACTTTAAAAAGAAAGCATTTTTATGCTGATAATCAATTTGGACAGTTAAAAAGAACATTAAATTTCAAACAGCTTTTGGCACATGAAATGCATTCCAAAATCTTTCATAACATTTTTTTAAATGCTTTTAAAATTTACACGTTCTACTTTTAATGAAAATTTGCACAGTTAATTGTAATATATCTAAAGTACATCAAAACAACCACGGATGTCTTTATTTTATATTTTTAATTCACAATATTCAGAATATATCAAGAATTATTCTTTCTGTACAACTGCCTAACTACACATGGTGGCAATTGACATTAACTATAAAAAGCTTCCTGGATCACTTTTCATGAATGCTCCACAGAATAAGTAACCTTGCGCCAGCTGGAAATCCAGTACAAAGAATTAGTTATCATCTAAAGTCTATATTCTCATGATTCCCCAGACAAAAGCAATGAAAATGTATATAGGACATCATTTGTTACGATGTATAAGGAATGCAGCAATGCCAGCAGCACAAAGGACCACTGCGGCACTTCCAATTGTCACTAAAACTTGGTCTTTTGTATCCATACATGAAAAGGATTTTAGAATACCTGCGTTTTGATTCATCGTTCTTCTGAAAGAGTCACGTTGCTGGGCTCGTTTGAAATATTCTTGTACATTTGGCCACTTGTTATCCTTAAATAAACGATCTGAAAGTCCCAACATTTTCATTCTGTTTAATAGCACACATAAACTAATGTCTGCAATTGTGAACTTCTCACAACATAGCCACCATTTTTTGCTCTCTACAAAAGGAGAAAAAAGAAATACTGAATTGTTAAAATATTTAATAAAATGTATAAACTATTACAGAACCATAACAACTTAAAACAATTTAAATAGCAATAAACCAAATATTTAATAGCAAACTCCCTATATTATTTTCAAATATCAATTTTATTCAAACTTAAATTTAGGTTTGGTTTGATTTAGCTGATTAAAGCAAAGATACAAGAGCTATCTGCCTAGGGGAAGAGATACCTTAGTGGAGAGATTGCCAAGAGAAACTGGTTCATATCCACATTACACACGGGAAAAAAATCATAAAAATGCAAGCAGTCCATACGAACCCTCCCCTCCCCAGTATCCGAACCCGAATTCTTTTTATTACACTTTTTTAAGTATTATTACATTTACATTTTTCTGTGATTATTATTTGATAAATTTAAAGTGTTTAGAATGTTTATTTTGGAAACTGCTTTTCATTATGATGGCTCCAAAGGATTTGCGCATTTTCACAAACGTTTACAGGTCGACAGGATAATCCCAAAGTACCATTTTTGCTTATGAGTGCTAATTTGAGCTTAAGGATACTGCTCAGTGCCAAGATAATAACTCTCTCCTTCTTTTACAGCTTGAGGCTGGTTTTTCGTTCCTCAATGCAAGCATTTTGGAAAGCATTCGAAAATTCAAACCAGATTCATCACAGTTATAAATTTCATCCCCAATAGAGAACCTCCTTTTCATTAGTTTGTGGAAAATTTTCTTAAATTTATAACCATTTTCCAAGTCAGCAAACAGTGTTTTGTCACAAATGTTTAACTGTTTGATGTGGTAGTGCTCCTTCCACCTATCATGCCAACCAACACTAGCAGTAAATTCAGGCTAGCCTTTAAACCTTTCTTTCCTAAAATTCTTCATAAAATTTGAAGACTTTCTCTTGCAAAATGAGTCTTGAAGTGGATAATTCTTTTTCCCTTAGTTCTCTAAACAACAAATAAAATGCCTAACTAATCTGCTCACTTTTGCTACCTTTCATACTTTCCCATTCATTTAAATTATCAGTATGTGCTCTTTTTCCACACCATGACTTGATTTCAGACCTCTTCTTTTCTATTCCTATTATAACAATTCATTCTATATCTAAATTCATGGCATTTTATTAATACTTATACTTTTTGAAATATACAACTTCATTTCCATTATGTTGTTTTCTTGCTTGTATATTTGACATGTTCACTTGCACAGACATCATAACACAATATTTGTAAACCTAGATGTAAACTAAGAAACTGTACTCAAACAAAGTTTAACTTAAAGCAGGGTACAACCATAAACTTCCAGACAAAAAAGATCAGCCAGCAATAGAAGAGTGTGAGTAGTAACTTGACACCTGCTGCCTAACTTTCATCAACCATTTTGTTAATGAGAGAGATGATGTGGTAGATTGTAATCTCCACAAAGAGAACAGAACCAGAATAGTACAAATCAAGAGAATAAAACCAGAACAGCATCATACATAAAAGTATGTTAAGTAATTAAAATGATACAAAGTAAAATGCAACTACAGTCTTTCCACCGTATAGGTGATACTAGATATTATATACAATTTACCTATCAATAGATTATCATCTTATTTCAATGATCTGCTTGACCAGCAGAAATCATTAAGTGATGAAAAAAAGATTGTCTAGTTATACATAATGTCAGGTAATCAAAAGTCCACTTTGTGGACTCAATGGTACTTACATTATTCATACCATGCATTTAGAAATTACTGCAATATTTATATTAGCTTGTTCATTCAAGAAATTAAAAATGTTTCATGCTGTTAAAATAGGCATAAATAAATAAATGTGATATATGACAGTAACTCTGAAATTTTTAAAATACACCTAGGTTTTTAAAGGTTATATTTACAAAATTTTAGGCATGTTCAAACCAGTTTCCTCCAGCATAAATGGAGGAGAATTTTCCAAAAATTAAATGCTTGACGCAATTCATTTTTTGAAATTCGATGAAAAAATGCATTTATAGCCTGATCAGTCTCATCTTCGAAATGAAAATGACATCTGTGTTAAGTTCTTTTTTAAACTAAAAAAATAAAAAAAAAATAAAAATGTCACACATAGCTAGACCAGAAGAACATGGTGGATTCTGTCACTTTGATGTATTTTTGTTCAAGAAACTCAATTGTTAATCTTGCTAAATGAGAAGATGCATTGTCATGGTGGAGCACGAGTCCTCTAATATTAATTTCTTGAAGAATTTCTGGAAGACAGTGGTGTACTACTTAGTTGTGACTGTTTTCTGTCCTTCCAGCTTAGGCTTTAACCAATCTTGTACTACTAAAGAAAATGACATACATTATTTTTTCATGGCAAACTGTCTTTTCACCATTGTGGGATCATCTTCAGAGGCCCATACTTTACTTTCTTGTTATGTTGGAACATCAAAAAATGGTTTTTAAGTTTCATCAGTTATGACTTTAGAAATAATGCACCATCTTAAGTAATTTAACGGCTTCTTTACTGATTTTGACACGTACCTATTTTTGGTGCTCAGGAACACAATGGCAAACTAGTTTTTTATATGCTATTCTTCATGAATAATTTTATGCATGGCAGTGGATCCAAAGTTCTTTCTGTAGCATTTGGTAGGTGCAGCAATTAACATTTTTCGCATCGAAGGCCCATTATCCAGGATTACTGCTGGCAACAACTTTCCTGTGTGTTCTTCATCCTAAAGAGAGTAGCAACCTCTGTGAAATTCTGTAAACCATCTTAATATAGTGGCATGAGATGGACCTTTGTTTCCAAATGCTAACTGTGGACATTGAATGCATTCTTCTTGATTTAATTACATTTTAGAATCAAAGAAAAACATGGCACGATTATGTAAATACATCAATTCCATTTTTACTTCTGCCCAAATGTTATTCTGCACTAAACTACTTGTAACTGGCCAATAAAAAGTCACATACCAGGTTAAAATAAAGTTCACGTTTTTAAATCTAACCGTTAATTTTCTGATACTTCTCATCAGTGCATATATCTAAAATTTCAGAATGACGTCTGTATGGGCAACAGCAGACATATTCGTATAATTTCAATTCTGTAAAGTAAATGTTTTCTCTTTCTTTCTTTTTAGTTATTTTATGACTAATGTCACAATTACCACACAGCAAAACAGCAGAATCGCACGCTTAAAGAATCAGATTTACTTACTGATCTGAAATGTTCAGTAAACATATATGAATATAAAAAGTTAAATGCAGGTAAAACACATTTATATAAACTTTTAAATAATGGTATTATGAATACTGTTCTTAATGTACTAACAAACTAATACCTAAGTTGTTGAACAATGGGAAAAATTCTTAAACTTTATAAAATTATTGATAATTAAAATGCAGTTATAAAGCTACTACATTTTAATTATCAAAAACTCCTTTAAACAGAAGGGAAGAATTACTGCAGCACTGAACTACAGCATGTTTCAAAAAGAATATACGTATTTCGAATGGATATATTTATTAAACTGTATGACATACGGATATGAAACTTTACACACATATGTACGAACCTCTGAAGTTCAGATTACAGATGTTCAATATGTCCTCCTATTCAGCGACACGAACAATATCACATCGATACTTAAATTCCTCCCATACTCAGGTAAGCATGTCCATCGTCACTGATGTTATGACAGTACGGATCTGGTTCTTAACCTCTTCCAGGTTCTGTGGAAGTGGTGGTATATAAATGTTGTCTTTAATGAAACCCCACAAGAAGAAGTCACAAAGTGTCAAATCCGGTGAACTGTGGAGGCCAGCTGAGACATGCTAAGTCGCCAGCTCCTTGACGACCAATCCAATGGTTCGGTAGTTTCATTCTAATAATCACGCACTTGGTGACATCAGTCAGGAGGTGCCCCGTCTTGTTGAAAAATGAAGTTGTCTTCGTGCAGCCCTGGAAACAACTGAACAGATTTTGTAACATAACAAGATACTACTGACTGTTAACTGTGTTTCCATCAAAGAAGAATGGGCCATAAACAGATTATCGGGATATCGCACAAAACACATGTTCAATCGCTGCATGTGGGTTCTGTATGCCCCAAATTCGAACATTGTGTTTGTTTACATGACCACTAACATGAAAAGTCACTTCATCACTGAACACGATGCATTGCATGAAAGTGTTATCATTGTGCAATAGCACCAATAATCTTGTTATAAAATGCCCCACGTTTGCATTTGTCATCAGGACACAGAGCCTGAAACAAATGCGTAACTTGTACGCCTTCCTAACCAACTGACGTCTCAAAACACCCCAAATTGTTGTAACTCCCAACTGGCATGCCACGAGTTCATTTTGAAGGACTACATTGGAAAGCAGTTTGAATTCATGCAATTTTTTGTCGGGAACACGAGGGCGGCCAGGATTCTTTCCTTTACCTATACATTCTGTATTTACAAACTGTCAATAGCATCTGCAAATGTTCCACCCATTCAGAGGATCACTTTGGTACCTCAACTTGAAACGTCTTTTGCACTGTAATCACAGAATTGCACTTCGCAAACTCGAGAACACAAAATGATTTCTGCTGCGGAGTAGCCATTTTAAACATATGACGGTTACCATGCAAAACAGAAGACAACTGACATCTAGCTGCTATTAATATAAACTACACTATGTACTTGTTTTGCCAATAGCCGAGCCGAGGCGCAGTGATCGATAGTTTGGACAAAATAACACTTTGTAATACGTATATTCTTTTTGAAACACAGTATACTCTGTTACTATTATTTATCAAATTCAGAATGATAAAAATTTAAATACCTCCTTCACGGGATGCTAAAAGTTTTTCCACCTCATTTAAAGCATATTCAAGGTCAAGTAACCCTTTCTCCACTTCATTTGTGTCCATAGCTGCAGCTCGACGCTTCTCAATGCTATTTTTCTTCACAAGATAATGGTCACTAAGATCTTTGTGTTTTTCAGCATAATCACTGAGTAAATTCATTAGTGTAGTATAGCACCCTAAAAAGGGGGGACATTAATAATAAAGAAATTTATTGAAAAATAATGTTGTACACTGTATTTTTTCCAAATAAATATATCATTTATATTTTACTGGTAACAAAATAAGCAATACAGCCAGAAAATACTGCCGACTCACGTACTTTAAAAAATCTTCTGATAGGAAACATTTGTATGACAGAACACTTCTTACAAAATTAAAATTATAAAGAAAAAAAAATATAATATTCAATAAAAAAAATACACATCACATTAAAAAGCGAACCACAATTTTTTTTATTATTTATTTATTTATTTTCCCATTTGTTTTTCTCTTTATCAAGTTGTAAATAATTTTTAAAGCTTAGATATGAAATCTAAAATAATCTAGACTGCCATCATTAAAAACATCCATTATATATTCCTCCTAAAAAAAAAAAAAAAAAAAAAAAAAAAAAAAAAAAAAAAAAAAAAAAAAAAAAAAAACAAAAAAAAAACAAAAAAAAAAAAAAAAAAAAAAAAAAAAAAAAAAAAAAAAAAAAAGAGTAAGTAATTTATTATCAAGCCAATTATTTCTATATTTCCTAATGCATATCTCAAATCATTTCTTTATTTCATTTGAAATTAAAGCATTTCAATCTATAGCACTAGAAATACTCTGGGCCATGGCTTTCATCTGTGGATTATTACTATTTCATCTGTGGATTGTGCTTGTGTGACTATTTAGCTAAAAATTAATACTGCATAATTAAATTTTAACATACTGAATATTCAATAATAAGAATTATTTTAAATATTAATAATTAATTCATACCCAATACACACTGAATACTCAATAATATGTTCAATATTGATTTTTTTACATAACTTAATTTACAGCAGTTTTGACAATATTATTTAAGAAGCTCTATGACAATATTAGAATTATATTTCTTTAAATGGTGTTTACACATTATCCCATCAACCATGAAAGTTGGTGACTATCAAACCATGAAGAGTGGCAGAGATCCCACCAAAATTCCACAAATTGTTCCTGCTGAATTCTAAGGAACTTGTGCATCTTTTATCTAAATAAACAATCAGTATTCATCCCGCTTCCTAAAAAAGCTTTCATCGATTTCTACTATTTTGTTAGGCCCTCTGATTTTACCAGCAGCTCTGTTTAAAATGCTTCAAATACATACTTCCCACAGGATATTTTTTTTCAATCTGTAACTGATCTGTTGACTATTTTTAGCTGGCCATATTGTGCTCATTAACACATACTATTTTTTTACGGTAGGGTCCAATAATATTAGAAATATTCACATGCTTGCTGTTCTTTAAAAAGGCAGGCCCCCAAATTTTAATTATTTTTTCCTAAATGCAAGCGAAAAATTACAGTAATAAGAATTAATTTATAAACTTGCTGTAAGATGTGGCTTAATGAGAATCGATCAGTATTACATCAAACAAAAATGCAGATACTGTAGCCTCTTACGCGGGAATAAAAGTTACGTACAGCGCATTATTTCTGCGCAAATTCAAAGTTATGTACAGCGCATTGTTTCTGTGCAATTTTAGTTAGTTAAGATTCGAACTCCTAGCATAGCATACATGTTTTTGATCCCATATGGGTCAGGAATTAATCATTTTCGATTTAAATTTTTTAGTTATGTTACAGTCCACAAAATAAAATTGGTTGTTGTTGTTGTAAAGTTGTCTATAGTATACAGTCTAACCAGCGACCTCAAAACAGATATTATGAATTATTAACTAAGCCATTACACCATGCTTACCTGTAACTGATGCTAAATCATGCTGCTTATTATATATAACATTATATTCAATTATCAATTAAAATAAATGTAAATACCCTTTAAATTCTGCCATACAGTATATAATAGATTTTTAAAGCAAATACATTAAAATAATATTTTATGATATTTCTTGTTAAACATCTATAAAAATAAATTATATAATTTCTAGGTCAGTTGCCACGACATGGAACTCGTATAAAACTACCAAACATTTCTGTTATTTCACAATTAATTCATATTTTCATAAAGTTTATAACAAATATAAAAAAACAAAAACAACTTGGGAATGTTACATATGAAGTTTCAAACAGCTCTGCTCTATCAAGAAGAAAATTTATCCATATCATATATAATAATATGAATATAAACTTACTCGATATATATTACAAAAATAGTTCCATATACAAATACCCGATATCCAAAATGCAAGAAAATTAAATTGCAGCTATAATATCAATTTCAACTGCCAATTCATTAAAAAAAATTTCTCATAAATACAGTATGTGCTGCTTAATGTGATCATGCTTACCCATGGCTATTTTCATAACATTAAGTGATAAGAAAAACAGCCTTCAAAATATCAATGAAATTTAACTAATTAAATATAACTAGAAACATATAAACACTAACTTTCACAGCATTTTAATTAAGGAAAAAGGTAATTAATAACTGATTATGTGCAAATGTTTCATAAAAGTTCACTTAAGAACTGTTCACAAAAATGTTCCCAAAAATTATTTTATCAATGCTATATCCCAATTCTTAATAATTAAAAACAAACCATCACATCTCAACATTTGTAGGAAATTCACTGATTTCATAAACTTTTTCTGTTATAACATGACATGCTTGAATTTGTTTCAGAAAGCAACTGACAAAATATCTTCCATCATTGTTACTGCAACTTAAGTTTTTTCATCAATATCCATCTGAGCATTAATTTTCTCATAGTCCTCTAGTTAGAAACACTGTTTCTAAGTCTTCAAAATCCTCTACTTCATCATTTATCAAAAGGGTTTACGTGCTTAGCACAGTCCTTTACAGAGTCTGTCATTTTCACTTATAATATATCATCCATGTTACAAAGCAATTTAAAACTCATTCCATGGTGATAATGTTCTTTTACTGCTCTAATGATCCTTTGATCACATGGTATATTACTGTGGTTACTGGCAAATATGCAATGAGTATATGTTTAAAAGAGATATTTATGTTACATACTGTGCAAATGTAAATAGGAAGAAGGATATCGTCATTCTTCAATCGATTTCATAAAAATTACTGAAGTTATCTGCATCCTTGAAACTCTCATTCCTTTAATAGTACTGGAGATTTTTTTTTTTTTTTTTTTCCTTTTTCTGCTTTAGAAGGCCATTAAATTCATCTCAAGCTCATAATGTCCATTATTAGGCTTACAGGTTAAGTATTTATCATATCACAAAGTTCCTGGGTACGGACATCGGTGGCAAGTAGACACTGTCTTTAAAAAACTATCAAAGGGAAAAAATCCCATGATATATATTATCTGGTAAATATAATCTGTTGTAAAAAAATATATGCACCCAGAAGGAAATCGGCCACAACTATGAAACTCAGCAGTAGTATAGTGTTTGAGAAAATAAACATATGATCAAAAACTGGGGCGGGAAAAGTGCTTTATTTACAAGTAGCAATACAAAGAATATGAAAATCAGTAGGTGGTAAAGACACCCCTGGCAACTATACAAGCCAATACTCAGTTAGGCACAAGTCTATTAAGCTGCCAATATCTCTTTGCAGTTGATTGTGCCACAAATGGAGTAAATGGTCAGTGAGTGGGGATGCATTTGTACATGACTGAATTTGGCTGCCCAACATGTCCCACACATGTTTGATAAGCAACAGGTCAGGAGACATGGCAGGCTGGTTTGAGGACACTGGCATGTTGAAGACATTGTTGGGAAAGTCATGCTGTATGTGGTCGAGTGTTATCCTGCTGGAAAACAGAACCTGGATGACCTGCTAATATAGGCAGGTGACAGGTGACGGAGGACGGGGACGCCTGGCGTATAACATAGGTAAACAGGCATAATATGCTAATATAGGCAGTATGATCGGTTTCAGAATGTCGTCAACATAATTGCACACAGTCAGAGTACCTTGCAGCATGACTAATGGTGAACAGCTGTCCCAGCTGATCGCTCCCCAGACTGTCACACCCTGTATTCTGGCTATATGCCCCTCGATAATAAAAGGTACACTGTGCAGCTCACCTCTCCGTCTGCTAACAAGCATACGGTAGTCAGCAGCATTGAAAGAAAAGCATGACTAGCAAGTCAATGGCAAGTGTCTTAACGGACACTAAGATCTGAGCCCAGCATTACCTAGTATTTTGCAAATTGAATCCCTGGACATCCCGAGATTTCTGACAGTTGGCAAATGGTGTTGAATTTATGATAATGTAACTTGGTGCGGAAGTGGGAGCTTTTCTAATTGTGTGTTTATCTCGCCACTAGTAGCCCTGGGATGTCCCAAGCCATTAAGGCGGCTGACTATGACTTGAATGAGCCACTGGCTCCAACAACAGATAACAGCTATATCACTTTAACCAATATGCTGTCCAATATGCCTCTTCAAAAACCAGTCTCATTTAGGCCTATGATGCGACCTCTCTCAAAATCTGACAACTGTTTGTAATGCAGTCGAGTACAAGGCATCTTTCATTACAGTGTCGTATATCCAAGCTGTCAGCACAGTTGTAAATGCTAGTCACTCATCGCACTTGCCCTTTAATATTCTACCAGCGTGCACTTCTGATTCGCATTGCATTGCTCCACAATGCTGATAGGTGCTGCAAGTTTAATCATTTACCCAATTAGCCAAACCATATTTGCATGCTGTATTTCGTACTTATGGCTCGATTTTTTCTGGATGCATATATTTTTTTACAACAGAGTGTACAGGGCTCAAAAGATACCACTCTTAGTTCTATCAACAGCACATGTGATCCACCACTGTTGGAAGATACAACTGAAAAACATTTGTACATTTCCGTGAAAACTGAGGAAAGTTTGGACCATTTATTAAATGTAATTTCCACAACTAGAATTTCATAGGAGTAAAACCTAGTTTTGTTAGATATGGAGAAATTAGTCACCAGTGACAATTGCTTTAGGAAAGAAAAAAAAGGACTTTCTCATGGGACACAGGACAGAAAGCACTGGCTTTTGGCAAATCATGCTGCTGCATTGAATTTAAATCATGCCTAAACTCACATTTTACTATAATCAGAAATCTGGACATTTAGAAATGAAGCAGAAATGCTGTAATGCCATCTGAGAAACTTGCTCTAAAAACTCTCAGTGAGCAAAAAAGGCAAAACAAAGATAGTTGCTGCTGACTTCTGAAACTGTGCCATTTATTATTGTACTTCTAAACTCATAATTACTAAAAGTCAAAACATAAACCCTGTACTAGATTATTTGTTTTCAATATCAATGAGAATCTTGGCTAGATATGCTAACACCGATTCTTTTATAATTATCATAAAGTTCAAGAAAATATTCTAAAATTAGAGTCCTTATTAACTCTTATTTTAAACTTAACAGCAAAATCTTATAATTTAAAACTGCATTAATATAATGATATGCATTGCATGTGTTTGTATATAAACCTATGTGTTATATATATAAAACACAAGGACTGCATTAAAAAAGAAAAAAAAAAAACTTAACTTTTTAAATTGTATGGCAACAGCTGCAAATGATGTGCTCCAGCCACCATGCTTCCCAGAGGCATTATTTGTAATTTTGCCTTTTACCGAGGTCTGAGCTATGCGTTAGTTATTAGGTAACTACCAGCTGAATGAGGCTATGCATTAGCTGCCTGTCGGATTAGTGAAAAATCAAAAATGAAGGAGGAACACTGTGCCTGTGTGAAAATTTACATAAAACTGGGAAAACCTTTCAAGGATACATTCCAAATACTTTAATTAAGCATACAAAAAACACTGCATGAGCCAAATGTTATGCTGTAATTGGTTTCAACATTTTAATGAAAGCAAAAGTTTAGATAACCAAAGATCCAAGGACTCACTGACTTTCTATGTCAACAGAATTTGTACTAAGTAGTCAGACAATAAACAAGAAAGCCTACTAGATAAGTCTAACACAATTAAGAGATGCTGTGCATAGAAAAATACCTTGAACTATAAAAAAAATCATTGAGAACTGTGACCTTGTGATAAATGGATTGTCTTCCCACATTATGTTCACATGATGTGATAAGAACATAATCTTGTGCGAAATGCTGGGCTAATATTCTGCAGTCGCAATATTTACAAAACAGAAAAAACTTACTTGTTAGCATAGCAGAAATGGCTATGGTAAAACTTTGTTCAAACCCATCTGGAGCTTATGAAATCATCTAACCTTTTTATGAAGGTTTTCTTATTGCCGTTATCATAGGACAGTTCTATATCTCCAGTCTACTTGGCCAATTGACGAAATTCAAATTGAGTTTCTCATGTCTCGAAAACACGACTTAGGATATATATTAGATTTATATATAGCATTGCTCTAATATAGGTATTTTGACACAAAATTGGACTTTTTCTGAAATGACATGCCAATTTTTCTCTAGATTTAGATTCTACAACTCAAATTATGCCAAACTGACAAGTTTTGTAAAAAAATCGCACAAGTAGTTTTTAAAAAATTAGCTCTCAAAATTTTAGCTCCTGGATTAGATGTGATATGAATCAGAGCATATGATTAAAACTATTCACTCAACTGGGCTAAGAAGTGCTCTGCCATCCACCATACTCCTCATACATTTAATTTGGTAAAACAAAAGAAACACTTTGTGGCATTTATTTCAAAACTGTTAGAAAGATTCTTCAAACAATAGACTATTCTTCAAACAACCAGCAAAATAGGCACTGCTAAAGGTAGACTATGTTCTACAGCACCGAAAACAATGAAGGCGAGTAAAAATTTCGGAGAGATACTGTGACAATTATACATTAACTGCTACCACTATATAAATTCAAACATTAATGCACATTTATTTTAATCATCCATTTATATTATATATTAATACATTTAAATTATATTAATCTTCAGAGTGGCATGACTACTTTTGTCTAGTCTTTTGTCATTTGATATACATTACTTTGCTATTTAAAATAGTTTGTTTTTTTGCTTTAACCCATTAACCGCCAAAACTGCAAGGAATGAAATAACAACAAATATTAAATTAAATATTTATAACATAAATTTACATTGAAAATTTAAAAAATGCTCTTACCTGTGAAAAACGCGAGTGTTGCGTTCGCGCAATGTCAGGGGAATAAGACTACGGATGTTTTAGTGAGTAGGATTGTACTCGTGTGATGTTTCTTTTGAGTGGAGTGCAGGATTACTTTTTAGCTGTATAAATTTATAAATCTACAAACCACTTTACTTGTAATTAATTTAATATTAAATATACATTGTATTTCTTTTAAAAATACAGATTATTTAATTGAAAGATTCAAGCATGAAAAGCTTGATTACATCATGATGTAAAGCTGCATTACATACTTTGCATCTGTAAACAGTCTGGCTATGATACTCTTTACAACAAAGTCTTTTATTAACCAACGGACTTTACGATAAAATATCTACCATCTTCCATGCAATGGTTTTTGTAATGCTGAATTTACTAGGTCTTCCTATTACTGATCTATTTCTGGCTAATTCTACACTTCTCAATAGGAGTTTGCAAAAGGAAATAATGCATTCTCGTGTCTGAAATATAAAAGAGACTTTATATTTCCAGTAGTAAAAAGTGTGGTGATATTAGTTTTACATAGGTCTCACCTCATATAATTTATCAGTATTGTCAATTTGACTATTGTCAAATGCAAATTCTGCTTCATATTCCTGTACTACAAACGTGATATCGATTGTCGTACAACAGGAACAGAAATGTCCTTATCAAAAGACCAATACATTTTTTTCTTGAGGTAAAGAATGGTATCCTATAAGCAAATAATATTCCAATAAATCTTCTCACATAGGCTTCAGATGCAATAAATTGAGTGATTAAAGATCCCATTCTCATGAATGGAAGGTTGAAAGCAAACTAAATAATTATACAGACTTTAATAAACACTGTTTCTCATCAGCAAATAATAAAAGCAATGCTGTCCAGAGAGTCAATATAATTCAAAAGTCTCTCTTTAGTAATACAACTTACAAAAATAATAATAATAATAATAATCACCTTGTCGCCCTTTAATTTCTTGAGGGGACATTTGAATTTTACCGGTAAGTTCTGGATTTAAAAGGCAACCAAAGGTTATGAGCTCATTGGGAATATTATCAAGTAAATCTCTCATTCGCTCCATAGTCTGGTACTGAGAAGTACCCTTTTCTGGTATGAGACGAGGTGTATCCCCTGTAAAAAACTACATATTTATATGCACACAGTAATACAATTTTCAACATTTAAAATAAAAACAGCATAAAATTATTAAATAACAAAATATATTATATATTTTATTAGCTGTTATAGTTATGTAGAAAACTGGATATTTCAGGTTTTGGAAAAATATAGGTTACAGTTCAAAAATTCTAAACCACATATATAAATTTAATTGCTAATTCAGCTTCCTAATTTGACTTATTTTAAGCATAAAACAAACAAACACACACAAGATAAAAATGCTTACAGTAAGAAACTTCTTTTTAATGTTTATTTCAGTTGTCAATAACTGAAATAGTTTAACAAAAATAAAAAATACTCAGTACTTTTATATTTTTCCATTGATCGTTTTCAACAAACTAAATTATCATCAAACGATGTGACTTAGCAACAGTAATGGATGGTCATAACATACAACATACAAGATCTTTGTCTTGATTTTATGTAATTCCAGTCCTCAATAACTTAGATTTTTTTTTTAGGAGGATATAAGTTCACTAATCGCTGATTCTCTTTTTTTCTCTCCTGCCTTTTATAGAAAAGAAGCAAGCAATAGAGTACTTTTAAGATAGCAGAAGGCTCAGCAAAATGGTTCAATAAAAAAACTCCACACAACACTGCTTATATTTGTATTTAAGTCAATTTATGTTCACTAAAGCAATAACTACATTCAAACTTCGCTATTATGAACTTTATGGGATGGAAAGTTTGGCTCACTGCAAACAAACAAACAGAAAAAAAAAAGAAAAAAAAAAAGAATTATCTCATAAAATACTATAAAAATTGATGAATCCCATAGAAAGAGAAATTAGCATCATAGTATCTTCCAAAAAACTTTTTGTTGTTGTTGTTTTTCACTTTTATCATACACTAATAATTTTACACAAAAAAATTACTCCGTATAAAAGTAACAGTTTAGACTTCTACTTCCAAATACAGACTTCCAATTTACAATTATTTATAAGCATCAATCTGACATGCATGCTTTGTCCCCTTCCCCTGAAAACTGCTTATGACATTTACGTATACAACACACAAGACAAAGTTTCATCTCCATAAGCCTCAGTTAACATTTGAAATGTTTCCATGATTGATTTCTTAAGTTTCACAAGAAACTTGATGGTGATTCGCTGTTTGGTTTTTATATTAGGCATTTCTTCCAGCAGAATGCAGTTGCACATGCAGTACTCCCAACTGGTGATTGGTTAAGTTAAAACTGGCCGCATGGGTAGAGGAGGTGTGTGGAATGATGTCACCAAAACAGTTGTTACCAACTCCACTCTTTTTTCAAGCTACACACTCAGTCTCTTTTTGTGTGTGTGTCACACCTCGTATTCATTTTTAGAAAATCTTATTTGGAATCAGGCCTGGTGCAAAGCATTTTTGCCAGCCTGTGCAATCTTTGCAGATTTTAAATTCTGTTTTCTTGTGCTTCCCTAAATTTTTAAAATTTGCTGCCTAATACCTTTGCTACTAAATTGTCTGCCTAATGCCTCCCTTATTTCTATGAATTCTGATATTCCTAAATTTTGTTGCTCATTATTTCTCTAAATTCTAAAAACTTTGCAACCCTGTGCGATAGTACTGTTTGTTTGGCTCTGATGCTGGCTTTGTCTGAAATATTGTCACTGATCAATTTCTTAATAGAATGATAAAAGTTCATTTTAAATATACAGCAATTTTTTTTTTTAAATTTATTTACTAACCGCTTGTGTGGCTAGCCACCTAAAATAGTTATTATGAAAAAGAAAAAAATATATAATGATTTTAAAGAATCCAGCTAATGTAATTTTACAGGTCCAGCTAGTAATTAATAATAATTGAATTGAATCTATGGTCACTGTCTTTAAATTGCTTAGTCTGTTGATTAATAACAAAATCAATTTGAAAGAAAAATTATACACTGGTTATCATAAATTAAGGAAAAATCACAAAAATAGCAATAACTCCCTCAAAAATAAGCCAAACCGTGTAAAATTTGAATATGTTGCCAAGCCACTGGAAGGTTCGTGTCAATGCCAACTGTGCGTAGAAGGCTTCACGAAGGTGGTCTGTATACAAGGCGAACAGCCATTTGTGTGCCGCTCACGTCACACCATAGAAGGGACCGTTTTCAGTGGGTAAGACAATATGTCCACTGGAAGCCTGATCAATGGAGGGCAGTTCTCTTTACGAATGAGTCCAGGTTTAGTCTAGAAAGATATAGTAGGCATTGTTTGATATGGAGAGAACCTAGAACCCGTTATCATCTGTCAAACATCCGTGAAAGAGATGCATACGGAAGAGGCAGTGTCTGTGTTTGGGGTGGCATCTCTTTGGGTGGAAGTACAGATTCCCTGTTTCCAATGGAAACCGTGAATGCTTCGGTTTATAGAGATGACATCCTTGGTGCTTATATGCGCCCATGTGCCGGGGCAATAGGTGAGGCTTTCCTGTTACAGGACGACAATCCAAGACCACACAGGGCTCGCATCATAGATGATTATCTTCAACAGGAAACAATTATTGATGGATACTATCCCCGGACTTGAGCCTATCACATTTGGGATGCTTTAGAGAGATGTCTAGTTGCTCTCAATCCGCTCCCTCAGATCCTTGGCGCGCTTGCAACTGCTTTGCAAGAGCAATGGCTCTTGCTTCCTATGGAACTAATAGACCGCATAATTGAAAGCATCACACATCGCTGTATGTGCGGTATTGCTTCTAGAGGCGATCATCCATATTGAAGGTACTTTTCCTATAACAAACTGACACCGATTTGTTTTTAATGTGCTAATTTCTATACTACCAATTTGTCTGGTAATTTCTTTTTATGTTATTTGATACCTTACTATGTGTTGTATATTGTGGGTCAGTTTCATTAAATTCTACATGTAACTCTTTCAGTAATCGTGATTTTTCCTTAATTTATGATAACCAGTATATATCTCATCTTTTCCTGAACCACAGCACAATGCCGTGTTGAAGATGAAAATATTTTTAACTCGGGCAGTGGCAGCACTTTTGTATTAAACCATAGAGTTTGTTAAATTCGAAAGACAAATATACTGTGTTTTGTTGAGTGGTAACACTCGTCTTTACTATCACAGAGTTTCTGATTAAATTTGAAATGTAAATATCTTCCATTTTGCTGAGTGGCAACATAAAGCTTTTACATCAGTGAGTTCTTAATCAAAAGTTTCTTTAATTCAAACAAAATATGAAATTTTAAAAAAGCAAAAGCAATGGGCTTCAAGATGCACATGCTTCGGTGGAAAACTGTGTGTCTTGAAAATTTGGTTGCATTTCAAAGCAAAAGCAATGGGCTTCAAGATGCACATGCTTCGGTGGAAAACTGTGTGTCTTGAAAATTTGGTTTCAATGCAATCACAGTCACTTTCAAAGAAGTATATTACTATGAAGAAAATTTAAATGACATAGATCATCAATGATGTAGATACTCAATTATTATTTCCTAGACAAAATTTTCACAGGTCTTATTATCTGCACTTACACACACTGAGATCACTAGTTTATTTGATAAAACAGGTATTTGCCTCAAAAAATTAAGCAAAGAAAGAATTATAAAAAATTGGATATGATTAGCTTTAAAGTACTTATTTAATATAATTTTTCTTCATAGTTTTGATTAAATGAAATTTGGTTAAGCAGGATTTCTGTAATTTACAACTTAGAGGTTGTTGCGGAGATATAATAATATACCATGCAAATTTTCTAATTCTGTACATACCATTGCTAAAATTATCTTCTATGTAATCAATGATACGCCTAGAATCTGGAATGATTTTAACACCATCTTTCAAAACAGGAACTTCACACTTGGGATTGAGTTTCAGGAACCAAGGTTCAAAATGCTCTCCATGATACAAATCTACAATCTGAGACTTAAATTTAAGCTTCTTTTCATGCAAAGCAAAAACAACCTAAATAATAAAAGCAAAAACACTCATATTAAATATCTGAAATTTGGAAAATATACAGTCTCAGCAGTAAAATAAATAATGGTACACTTCTGTTATCAGGACAAGGTTAAAAAATTTATGTTATATTTGAATGTATGTGTTCATGTATTAGGTATATACATGTATGTACATATCTACAAGGGTATATATGCATATACGCACATTAGACACATACACACGCACATACCTACATTCCTGAATCCGGTTTCGATACCAGAAGAATACCGAAATAATAAATAACAGTGCAAATAATGGATTTTTAGCAGATGAAATAGTTTTTCACTGTGATAGTACAATATTAATTAAATGATAAAAAATTAATCTGTAGTTCACAAACTATGTCTACATAAAATTTCTTGTTCAATTATCTGAATACTTTCGGCCTCTATTAATATCTTCATCAACTGTTATTCAGTTTTCATATTTTGAATACAGTACAAAGTCCGTAATCCGGACTCGTCGAGACTTCAACGATTCCGTATTAAGGGTTTTTCTAGATTATAGATCATCAATTTAAATCTGGTAAGATGGCATGCAGAAATTATACAATTAAAAATATGAAACCGTAATTAATGAAATAAAGAGCAATTATGATCTAAAGGGTATCAAAATTTACAAAAAAAAGCTTAATTTTTATTTGTTTACTTTATTAAACATTTCTTTCAATGTAAGTTGTTTAAGTTACTTCGTTTTTTGTGCTATACGCGCATGCGTAAAGCATACAAAAAAAAAGTTTGCGGCTTTGAGGTCCAGATTATAGATCATTCCAGATAATGGACGTCCGGATTACAGACTTTATACTGTATATGCCATAAGTTTATATTTTATTTTATGTAATGTTTATCAGTTTAATTCAAATATGGTCAACAAGGTAATATTTAATTAATCTACGACTGAAATTTTCACCATGAATTGATTATTATCTTTAACTGATTATTATTATTAAGGTAAATAATTTATGAGATTGTTTCTATGTTCTGTTTTGAGGGGATTTTTCTTAATTCTGTTTGCATAGAACATTCTTTTACCTATATAGTGGTGGCCAAAATTGTGGACACTTTTGGAAATTTTTAAGTTTTTTAACTTTGTATGCTTATAGAAAATGTTACGTTTCGCAAAATGCAAACTTGTATATATCATTTTAAAGAGAATTTATTACTGAATTCAATACAAAAACACAAAATTCAATTATTTGCAATGCAAAAAACTTATATGTAACTTTAATGTAAATAAAAAACACAGTTATGAAGTTTGGTTTGTAATGTCTAGTTTTTTCCTGGCCAATCACTGTTCTTGTTCTGAGAACCAATCAAATGTTAGTAACTGCCAGTAGAAGCTGACATCATGTTTACACTTGAAACAATTCATTTTTTTGCTTTGTTCTGTAGAAGGAGGACCTGTTTCTTATACACTGCAATTCCAAGTAGGAATTTTTGTAAAATTTTTTAATATTTAGTCAAGAAGCAATGACATCAAATAAAAGAGTAGATTGGACACGTAGAAAGAGATTTAATATTATTAGAAAACTCACGTAGAAAGAGAAAGTAGTCTTTCCTATGCTGAAATTGCATGACAGGTGTGTGGTTCAGTGACTACATCTGGAGTCCGAAAGTTTTGCTTACGACATCAGAAGACAAATTCAATCAAAAAACAAAAAGAAGGAAAGGCCGAAAAAGTTGCACCAAAATCTATGATGACAGAAGAATAAAAAGACTATGTCTCCAAAGATAGAAAAATGTCATCAGCGGCCATCAGAAGTGATCTGAATGATGCTGGTGTTTCTGTCAATTCAAGAACATCAGGAGAAGATTAACAGATGTTGGACTGAGAGGGTAGAATTCCACGAAAAAAGCCTTATCTTAATTTTCAGCAACGAAAAAAGACTACAGTGGGCATAGGAACACATTAATTGAACAGATGATCAGTGGTCACAAGTTATATGGAGTGATGAAACTAAGATATCATTATTCGGTAGTGATGGGCGAAAATATGTAAGACGTAGAATAGGAGAAGAGCTACATCCTGACTGCATTCAAGCAACTGTGAAGATCCCAGTTAGTGTTATGATTCGGTCATGCATGTCAGCAGATAGCATCGGTTGCCTTCATGTCATCGATGGGAAACTGAATGCCAGAAAATACATTGACACTATTCTAGAACCAAAACTTCTACCTTCCATCAGAGATCTCTTTCCCAACAATGCTTCGTTTATTTTTCAGCGGGATTCTGCTCCTTGCAACACGGCCAAAATATCAAAAGAGTGGTTTCGTATAAAGAGCATTAAATTGTTGTCATGGCCAGGAAACAGTCCTGACCTCAATCCTATTGAAAATTTGTGGCACCGTTTGAAAACTCTTCTCCGAATGAGGTGCCCATCAAATAAAAGGGAACTAATAGGGGCTATAATTGTTTTCCTGGCATCATGTATAACGAAAAGAACAGCTTTTAAAACTCTTGTCAGCTCAATGAAACGTCGATGTGAAGCTGTAATCAAAAATAAAGGTACCCTACTAAGTACTGATAACTCACTGCAATCATCACTATCTTATGTATATCGATAACTATTATCGTTTAACTTTTTTTATATTGCAAATAATTGAATTTTGTGTTTTGTATTAAATTCCGTAATAAATTCTCTTTAAAATGATATATACATGTTTGCATTTTGTGAAACGTAACATTTTCTATAAGCATACAAAGTTCAAAAACATAAAAATTTCCAAAAGTGTCCACAATTTTGGCCACCACTGTACATACATATTGTCTAAGTTCTTCTGTTAGGCTTATAATCAAAAGTTGCATTGAGATACATTGTTCAGAAAAACTTACCAATTTATGAGATTTCTTCTAAACGGATGAAAATAGATGTTATTTGTTGGAAGGCAATTACAAACACTGCCCAATGAATCAGAAACACAAGATCAATATTTTATTGGATCACCTTTTGCACTGATAACTGCTCTGATTTGTTTGGGCATCGTGTCTACATGCTTCTGGGGTGCATTTACATCTAGAGAACACCATGTATTGGATATACAGCTTTTTATACCTTGTTAATTAGATGGAAGAGGAGAGTGCGGTCGGATACATCTTTCCACCATACCCCACACATTTTCTAAGGGGTTAAGATCCGGGCTATGTGGTGGCCAGGGAAGGTGTTGGAAGTCGGACTTATATTTCTGGCATGATGTATAGTTGCAGTATCGTCTCTGAAATATATGTTGCCATCAGGGCAAAAATGTAACATTTCAGGGTGCACTTTATATCTAAGTATTTCATGACTGTTTGCTTACCCTCAACGAACACCAGAACACCGCTGGCACCATTATTGACCAGAATGAAGAGTGCCAAGTTTGTACATTTCTCTGATGTTTTTCAAAGTGAATATATATCACTGCGTATGAAGGGAGAACAACAGTAATATATCATATCATGTATGTAATATATACAGTACAAAGTCTGTAATCCGGACGTCCATTATCCGGAATGATCTATAAATCCAGACTTCAAAGCCACAAACTTACCCATGCGTGTTTAAAGCGCATCCGCTACGCATGTGCGTTGAACCATGCGCACTTCCGATAGTGAAGAAAAGTGACAGAGAGGTTATTGAAAACGAAAAAATTTCGATTGACGAGTTAGTCGGTATTCTCGACACAGCAATTACAAGACTTGAACTGTGGAACTTTGTAACTGAACAAGAAATTATGTCTATTTATAGAATTAAAGAGAAAGTATTAGCATAAAAAATAAAGCAACTTAAACAACTTATATTGAAAGAAATGTTTAGCAAAGTGAACAAATAAATAATAAGCTTTTTTTTGTAAATTTTGATATCCTTTACATCATAATTGCTCTTTATTTCATAAATTACGGTTTCATATTTTTAATTTTATAATTTCTGCATGCCATCTTACCCAAATTTAAATTGATGATCTATAATCCGGAAAAACCCCTAATCCGGAATCGCCGAAGTCCCGACGAGTCCGGATAACGGACTTTGTACTGTATATACTGTTGAATGTGCAAAGTGTCGTTTTTTAAGGTTAAGTGAAAACAAATCGCTGTGAGGGCTTCTTTTAAGATTACAATGCTTGCCAACTTACAACAAATATCATTAATTTGGCAAATTTTTTTAACTTACAACAAATATCATTAATTTGGCAAATTTTTTTATTTATTTATTTTTTTTAAGTTACTAATTGCCAACTTATACCTGAGAAGTAACTTTTCCTAATAATTTTAAACAACATCAGATGCATGAAGTAAAATCTCAGTCTAGATAATTATATATTATTTCTTTGGGAAATTTTGTTACTTGGCTTTCAGTGCCAGCTTTTGGAATACTTTTAAAGAACACTGTTTTAAATACATTGTTCAGCATATCCATTTGTTTCCAATTATAACATCAAGCAAATTATCATCAATATATTACAAAACTGCCGAAGTTTTCCTAAATTCATGTTCAAACTAACATATTACTGGCAGAAAAAGAAAATTTAATTAGAAACAGTGAAGGATCATCAAAATCACTTTCATAAATTTCTTGCTTGACCAAGATTATCTGAACAACATTTATTACTGCAATGATTATTTAGATAAATTTCACAGGTGGAGAATTAAAAATTTCAAATTATCTCTTCAAGTTATCATCAAGAAAATATAATGTGCAGCAATTTAATTTTCAAAAGCCATCCGTGAGACCTGATGACATATGTATATTTATCAATTATAAGTTCACAGAATCTATGAAAGGATAAAAAAACTGGAACTTACAATGTGTGTTTAAGGACAAATACACTTACAATTCATTAATAATTTGTTGCCCTTCAGCCACATAATTTTTTTTAAGTGTCTGAAAGAACATCTGCTAGTTTAATGATTTGTGTAGGAAACATCTGCTGGTCTATTAATTTCTAGATAAATCTTTAGTCTTGTCTTAAATATCTCATTGAAAGATA